TTCTTAGTGGCCATGGATTGTCAAGTACAATACTCATCGCCAACATTTTCATTTCAACTTTTTACATGGATGAAAAAAACAAGCATAACTATGAAATTTGTCCTTTGGCTGCCAAAAGACCTTATGAATCTGTATGATATCAACCTCAAGATGAAATCTATGTTGTCATCTAGATGGAGGCTCATATCTTCAAAAATTGAACTTCTGATGCAACATTCTTTTGGACATTTTAATCCAAAATTTGTAAGATACATCATAGATCAACATTTGATGAATTAATAATTTTTTCTCTACTTTGGTAATTAGACTTTATTAAAATTTTATATTGATGAAGTGCAATGATCAACACCTATTACAAATCAGATAGAACTAGAAATATAAACAATAAGCAATATTTTATAAAATTAGCTAGATCTTGTTGATGGCTACTTCAAGTTAATTACAATAGTCTTTTGTATATAAAATATCTTGATATTATAATAATTAGTAATGAACTTCTATCTTTGTTTCTTAAATTAAAATTTTTTTATGAACTTCATCTTATAAAATTAGAAAAAATATGCATTAGATATACTTTGATGATAATCAGTGGTACCTTTACTGCAATAAGTTCATGGTCATGTCGATGTAGTTATGGATCATTATATCTTTTTTGCAATGGTGACGCTTCAAATATACTCTCTATATAATTGGTATATTTGAAAGTTGTATCATTGTTAGTAGACTCTTTTATCATCTGCTCACTATACCTTTATAGCTTATTACAATCATAGTATATTTTGTCATTGTTATTGCATCTTATAATGATAATACTAAAGACCAATATTTTTTATTTTAATTTTTTTCTTTCAATTGATTATATGGTCTATCTTTGAAAGCAAATATTTTACTTCATTTGATCAATGTAAGCCTTGTTCTCTTCCAGTCTTATTAATAAACAATACATATATGATATGCAAAGTGTCCACCATGTCTTTTGGTTTTTCTAATTTTCTACCATTCACACAAGCATGCAATATTGAAGCAAATGCAATGTCATTTGGCAGAAATGTATATAGAGAAGGTTGAAATCACAATTAGATGTGAAAAGCAAAAATGACAAAAAGACTTCAAAGATTATTGCTAATGCTAGTGAGAAGTTGCTCTCTCTAAATATTACTCTTGGATTTGTTATCGAATTTGAAAAGGAATTGAACAAGCTTGTTGATGATTTTTGTTTAGAAGCAAAGTTTCTTAAAGCAACAATGGTAATTGGAGGGAAAAATGAGAGAGTTGTATGTTGCAACTAAAGCTAAGCTCTAAAAAGCGATCATAGAGTTGCAAAACATAAAAAAAGCTGAAGAAAAAGATATTGGAGTGGCAGCAACATAAAGCAATTTTGTAGAGGTATGTAATGTAGTAATATATTCTACATTCATAGGAAGATTTGAATCAAATATCAAAATTGGGAGTTGAGGGGACTATGACAAAGATGATTATTCCTAATGCATGGATTGGAAATAGAGAGGAGGTTAAGACAAGATTTGAGAATCAGAAAAACATGGAAAATGAAGAACAAAGATAATAGGGTGCAACAATGGTTAAGATAGAGTGGATTGCTTTAATAAAACTTTGGATTGCTTTATCATTTCCTTATATATATATATATATATATATATATATATATATATATACATATATAAAATTTTATTATATATTTAATTTTGATTTTTTTCTATAAAATATTAAATAAATATATTATCATTTAATACTTTATTTATATTTTATTTTTAATAAAAGATATGCATAGGATATTTGAAAAACATATAATAATACAAAAGTATCATATATACATATTTTAAATAATTATATGTAACATTTCATAAAAGTCTATATAAAATTTGTTAAATATTTATAACTTAAAAACTTCTTATTGTGTGCAAATGAACTTATTACATGTTTTAAAATTTTTTATTTAATTTCTTTTGTGTCATATAAATCAATGTAATATTCTATTACGTAATTCAATTTATAAAAATTTATTGTGTATCTCAAAAGTTTTTAATGGTCTCTTTTATGTATATTTCTAATTAATTTATCAATTTTATTTTAGATACTTTTACAATACATATAAATAATGACTATGTAAAATACAAAGTCATTATACATATGAATAATGACTATATAATATTCAAAGCAATTCAATATACAACATTAATCAATAAAAGTAAAAATTTGAAAACTCTTATAAAGTTATAACCATTAAGTTTTTAATTATACTATTTATAATACATTTCTATTATGTATTTTTTAGTTTTAAAAAATAGTAAATTAATATTTAAAGTTTTTGGCAGTATGTTAGTAACAAGATAAAAAATCTTTCCACCTCATTGTAAGATGCATTTAGATAAAACATAGCTGCAAGTTTTTAACTTCTAATAAATCTTTGTATTATGCTAGTCTTTTTTGTTATCATCATATGATTTTTTTTACTGCTATTTTTTCAAAGCTTTGGCAATTTATAATTTTTTAGCATGTTATATCAAACATGTGCTACTTGCATAAATAACATAGCCATTGTATTTTAAATTGTATCCTAAATTGTATTTATGTATGGAAAAGTGTGGTAACAAAGTGACAATTGAAATATATATATATATATATATATATATGTATATTTATATATAAACTATTAAAAGATGTGAAATGTAGATACAAATTATTATATATGGACTAAATTTTTGTTGTTTTTAGATTTGATTGAACTTTTAAAAATCAAATGTTGTAGTCTATATTAATATAAAATTAACCACATATTATTCATTCATGTATAGATTATATATTTTTCTTTCAACTTGTCATTTATGATAATTGATGTTGGAATAACAGAAACTAATGTCATGCAGTTGTTCAAAATGATTTTTTGAATATTTTATCTTAAAATAAGGTTCTATGGATTTGCATATTTTATAAGATTGTAATGTATTTCAGTATTTTAGATATTATTTTATGTTTGCAAAGAATTTAACTTTGTAGATTTTGGTCTTTTACAAAAGTTTAGTGTGGGACCTATGTATATGGGTATTTCTTGCAGAAGCATATGACTGAAATCTGTTCCAATAATATTGTTATTGATAAGAATAGAAAAATAACTGAGTTGTCCAAATCACATACAGCCGTCTAATTTTTAAAAATTAAAAATTAAGCATGTAAACATATAAGAACAAACTAAAAAATACATATTTAAAGGTTTAATAACACTTCTGTTTAGTTATGTATCTAAATGTATTTATATATATATATATATATATGAATTAATTTTTGACATGTAGGTGTTTATTATTAGCTTTATACTTAAGATTTATATAGATTATTATGAGGGTGCTTTAAAAAGTATTTAATAATAGAATTGTAAGTAGAGCATTGTGTTGCCTAAATATTGTTTATAAAATGTTTATTTTTCTAAATTGATGAGTGATGCAAGTGCTGAGGTGTTGCCATCTTGCCTTAAATATAATTCAAATAACCACAAAATGATGAGTAGAAATCATATCATTACATCAGATAACAGAATTATCAAATTCAACTGTATCATAATTTTCTTTGTCATTGCACAACTTCACAGAATAATTAAAATTCATTTCTGGTGCTTGAGAATTTGGATACAATGGTTTAAAAGTTTATATATATATATATATATATATATGTATTTATTTATATTTATATATATTTTATATGTTTTAAAATGCTAACTAAGAATAATAGTTTTAAGAATGTGGATTGGATTCCAAACACTAAATGTAAATTCAATACAAAAAAAGTTGAAGTAAAAAGAACTCATAAATATAATGCAATATTAGTAGAATGATATTACATTTGAATTACATATTGAAAATAAAAGAAATATGATTTTTTAAAATTTCGAAAAAGATAAACAAAAATATATATATTTAAAAAAAAGACATCATGTAAAATCTATATTATAAACCTATCATAATAATAAACAAGAAATGCGGGAAATTTTTAAATTATAATTAAAACATTACTTAAGACAAATCTAAACTCTGTGGTGAAAACAAATTGTGTTGATGATTATTCCTTTTGATTCACTTTAGTGTGTGTATATGTATATATGTGTGTGTTTTTTATAGATTTATTTGCTATTTCTACCAGATATGTATGATTTTTTTTATAAGTTATTATTTTGATTCTTGTTATTAGAATTATATTTATGTTATATTAATTTTATGTAGTATTTTCAATAAAGTATTTTTTAAAGAAAGAAGGGTGTATTGATACAACACAGTAATATGTTTTATTCGTCTCAATGTTAATATTTTCCTGGGGATTTGATCCAATACTTTTGAAGGTATTTTTCAAAGAGGATTATCACTTTTTTTGGATTCTACCCTTTAGCACAATTCGTGAGACTAATTTTGGATTTTAAAATATGATTTATTATTATTATTATTATTTACTTCTCTAAACAAACATATGCTGTAAAATGATGTGAAAGAGAATAACTCTAAAATTGAAAACTAATATTTTAATGTTTAAATTGCTAAATGTATACAGAAAGAGTAATACACACAACTTTTTAGAAAAATTGTCCAGAATTCAAATGTTAACAAAACGCACTCCACAGCACTTGATGGTAACTACTAACCTAATTGTTGCCATTTTTATCCACAACTTGCAGTGTTTTTCACAGCCGAATGGCATCGTTCCCATAAAAACGAACAGGCGAGGACTCACTCTCAGAAGAAAAATTGCCCAAAATTGTATTTTCAGGGTTTCGAGGGCAACTGCGAGATCGATCCATGTCGCGGGTGGTGATGGATGTTGTTTCAGATGAACGTGGGCGGGCGGGAGGGAATCCAAACTCTGACTTCCCGCTGAGGGAAGCTCCGCGTTCGTGGAGGCGAGGTGGGTCCGTGAGAAGCTGCAGACGAAGATGCGGTCCTCATGGCATCGTTGGAGGAAGCATCGTTAGCTTCGCTCGACATTTCACCCGGCAATAACAACAGTGTCCAATTAAAGAAGAAGAAGAAGAAGAAGAAGCGCACACAACACCCACACCAACACCACCAGTCCTGCTGAAATCGCTTGTAATCCACGTCCGCACTCCTTCTGCCTCATGTTTTCCGCTTGTGCTCTCAGAGTTTCTCCGATTCCTCACTTGTGCGACGTAATTGTGGGTGCTAAGAGTCTATTCGTGAGGAGGGATTTCGTGTCCCGTGTTCGATTTGCGGAGGTTGGATCTCGGCGTGGTAGGAGTTGGGTTGGTGTACGTGCCATGGGTAGCGTTCCCGCTGATTTCTCTAAACCCCGGAAGGTTGTGAAGAAAGTCCTCTCTCAAGCGCAGCCCGAGGGCGATGGCGCAACCGTGCGACGAAGCATTGGCAGGTTTGTTTTGCGTGTTTGGTTTGAGTTGGATTTTGGTGATTTGGGCTGGGGCTTGTTGGGTTTGGAATCGTGTAGGATTTTGTAAATGTATGCGTATTCCTGCATGAATTGCTTTCTTTTTGTGTAAGTGTGTTGTGGTGTAATGTGAAGGCAGTCGTGTGTTGAGGTTTCTCGGTCTGTTGATGGGTTCTCTGAGAAGTATTTACCTGCGAACGGTGCATTAGGATTTTCCGTGAGTAATTGGTAGTTCAAATTGTATACAGGCCGGAGTTGAAGCAGCTGGACCCTTTCCTGCTTCTAGACTATTTTGAAGGTATGGAATTCTTATCGCGTAATATCATATTGCAGTTTTTGAAATTTACCCTATCCAAAATCTGGAAGGTGGTTTGTCGGGGTGATGGTTTATTGCTCATCGGGGTTACAAGTTGCTGCATTTCCTTACTTTCTTTATCGATCAATGCTATAGCTAACATGCAAGGATTCAGTATATAGCCATTTTAACGGTCCTTGTTGAACCCAGCTTTATAATAAATTACAATCTATTATCCTTCAAGGTATAAGAGTGAATGCTGCCCTGTTAAAGATGAGACCTTAGAACGTGGGCTTGCTGGAATAGGTGATTGAAGTAGCATCACATGCATTGAACGAAATTATAGGACGAGTTCTTAGATCCTTTGCCATGTGAACTAAAAACTAGATGTGATTAATTACTCTTGAAGTATTACAGTACCTCTTGAATTCAACATTGATGTGTGTCTTGCTTCAATTGCTGCAGCTTCTGGGCCCGCTGGTTTTCCCGATCATCCTCATCGAGGATTTGAGACCGTCACGTACATGCTTCAGGTGTGTTTTTTTTTTGTGTGTTCTCGCTCCCCTCCCCCAAAACAAATGAATGAAAGAAACAAATAATAAAAAGATGTGGAACTAAAAACAAAAATAATCATTACACAATGATGGCCCTGGAATATAATACTCCTCTGTGATGATAGGGGTCCTTTACGCATGAAGATTTTGCGGGTCATAAGGGCATTCTCGAAGCCGGTGACGTTCAGGTACTTCTTCCTTTTCTTACAACCTGAACGCTCGGTTTCTTGTAGGATTGGTTAAATCAATCCTCAATGTTAACAATTTTGTTGTGTCTGCAAGTCCATGTTATGACTGGCGTATGACACCTTGCAAGTTTGTTATTTTGGATTTGATTCAAAACTTGTGCATGAGATTGCTGCTGTAGTGTGGCATCCTAGCACCTAGGACATTTTTTGAGTGCTCTGAATTTGATGAGGTGAACGACGTTGAATCGTAGTCACAATCACAGATAACTGATCTGGCTTTTGGATGGGCTTGTGCAGTGGATGACAGCTGGACGTGGAATAGTACACAGCGAAATGCCGTCGCCAGTAGGAGTTCAGAGGGGTCTGCAATTGTGGGTCAATTTGGCAGGAAAAGATAAAATGTGAGTACATTTTTTTGCAGTGCTAATATTCAGGTAGACAAATGGTTGATTCAACTGCTGAATTTTTAACAATAACCATACTTATTTTAGTTATGAGTCGGAAAGAGTTCCGCTCTGTTAACCTATGAGTGTAAATTGCTCGGTGGGTGTTATTTCAAACTTTTAGAATTCTTTGTTGCTCACTTGGAAACTTGGTATTTTCAGGATTGAGCCAAATTACCAAGAACTAAAAGCTAAAGACATACCGAGGATTGAAAAAGATGGCGTGGAAGTTGTCATAATTGCTGGGGAATCTTTTGGCGTCAAGTCACCGGTGTACACTCGCACCCCAACCATGTACTTGGATTTCTACCTACAGCCAGGCGCCTCGTTACACCAAGCCATTCCCGAAGGATGGAACGCCTTCACCTTTGTCCTGAAGGGGAGCATGGTGTTTGGGAAGGAGGACGCACCACCAATTGGTCCAAGTCATACAGTTGTCCTAAGTGATGGTGACGGTCTCAGTGCTTGGAACAAGGGCACAGAACCTGCTCAGTTTGTGCTAGTAGGTGGGAAGCCTTTGAATGAACCTGTAGCGCAATACGGCCCCTTTGTGATGAATACTCAGGCGCAACTCATGGAAGCTGTTAGAGACTATCAGTATGGTAAGAATGGGTTCGAAAGAGCTCACTCTTGGAGATCAGAGGCCAAGGCCCAGTCCACACCATAGATTTAGCGTCTACCCCGGATGGTTAAGAGTAGTTATGTATAGATGATAATTGTCTGAGTGAGTAATATCCGTGTTTCGGTGCATGCCTTCGTTATTCTCACAATCTTTTCAGAGCGTTGTTAGCATGAGTGGAATTGCAGTTTGATGGATCTTGGGATTAGTCATAGAAGTGTGCAAGAGAAGTATATATGATTAGGCTTTTGATGTTTGACTGTATACGCTCGTTGTTGAGAGCTACACGGTCCAAAGATAGGATATTCCTTATTCTTACTTACAGGAAGTCTAGAATTTTCTTTACATATCCTTTTCGAGATTGTAAGAATTGAACTGATTGACAACTTTTGTTGAAGTAGAGAAAACCAGCTTCATTCATGTTATAGTTGGGTTTCATGTTAGCATCCCAAATCCGTGTAATCATTTGATATATTGTGAAAATACAGTTATCCACAATGGATTACTTTGTCAAATAAATGGGTTGCTCTCCGTGTCCTCAACATTCAGAATTTTCATTGATTTTCCTCTTCTCGGTCTTGAACAGGAGTTGAATTCCTGGCAAATGACACCGGAATCAACACAAGGGCTTTGGGGTTAAGCTGACTAATCTACGTGTAGCTTGTGATTAATCTAATTGTCTCGGATACGCAAACACATGACTACCTGCAGCAGAGCTTACTCTTGAGCCGCTCGGAGCTTATACTCATCACTCCTGTAGAACTCTTGTCTATTCGTCTCTTTTATCCTCGAACTATCTCTGCGTTCTCCGTTAGGATTTGAAGCGACGATAGAAATCTCTCACATGATGGGTTTTACAGAAAATCTTTTTCCAGCAAAGTTCTCCTGACATGGCGTTTTGGCAGTTGTGCTGCGGACAGAAAATATTCTCTACTTCGGTAGGATTACCAAGGTCATCACATTATAATGTCAATAGTTAGCTTTATTGCGTCACTTGGATCAACGTTCTACTGGACGTTCATCCAGGCCAAGGTTCGGGCAATGGGAGGAATTGATGATGCTCGCTCCAAGAAAGGTTTGGACAAAGCGAAGGCTGCAAGTCCACATGCGAAGGGTTTCATTTAAGCAGGCTATTCAAGTGGTGAAAGGGTGTCCTCTTTCACCCATTACTGTTGGTATTGTTACCTTGGTTTTGTTTTGCTGCCACCCTTGTTGTTTTGGTTGGTTTTGATGTTGTTCGTTTGCATAATTGTTGTTACTCTTTCGGTTCTAAGTTGGTTTTGGTAGAAGAATCGTTTCTGGTTTGCATGCTTGAAGTTTGCTAATTCAAGGTTTTGGTTGCAATTTCACAAAACCTTTTTGGATATTTGATGTGATCAAAATTGTTGATGTCTTCATATCTTCATATTATGGTTTGAGGTTCTGGAGAAGACAGACTTCATTTTGTGGTTTACATATTTTGGTTTAAAGTGAAGTGTTCTATTCCATACCCACTAAATTATGTTTGAAATTTCATTGTGCAATGCAGTCACCATTCATCCTCAATAATAATAAAAATAATAAGTCAAATGCATACATAAACTATATTTTTTTATGAACTAAATCATAATATACTACAGGTTGAAATTTTAAATATTTTAAATTAAAACTTGTGCTATTTTTACTACATAAAATAATTTTAAACAATATGTTTTATTAATCTTTTCAGAGAGAAAAATGATCTCTTCTTTGTTATAATTTTTTAAACTCTGTTTTTGTTATTCATTCTTTGACATATTCTTCTATGAAAAATGAAAGTAAAAAGTATTCAATCTTTTAGATAATTTTTGCATAATTTATAGCACATAATTTTTTTATTTTTGTGTTTTTACATCCTTTTTATTTTATATGTATTTTTGATTATATTCAACAAGGTCTATAATTTAATAAGTTATTAACAACTGAATGAATACATACTCTTGTTGAATTATGTTTCAACCAAGAATAGTAAATTAAGACCATAGCATGGATAAAAGCAAGAACATTGTATGCAAATAAAACTCTAATTTTGATCTCATATATAGATATCACTATATATATATATATATATATATATATGTGTGTGTGTGTGTGTGTGTATTAAAAGAATGAGACAGAATATCAATGGGTTTGTTGTTTCTGTAGTCGTTTTGGTTTGAATTTTACAGAAGAGTCAATACTTTTTTAGATAAATGAAGTGATACTTGATAACTTTAAACAAGATCCAGTCAAAATCATTTCTTGTATTGTAAGGCTATATTTTCACTATTTAGATCTCAATATAGAATTGAAAATATGCATACGTATATATATATATATCTATACTTTGGATTTTTGATGTGTTTTAATATTTTAGAAATAATACTCAAGACAACAGTAAATGCTTAGTGGTTGGTTGACGTTGGAACAGAGGTCAGGCAGAGCACACTGCAGTTCAGTGGAATTGGAGCAACTTCAAGGCAATGAATGGGCAGGATCAGGAACTGGGTCCCTTGGCCACATGGCCTCAATGGATGGACATTTTGATTAGACATCCATTCATGCTGACATTTTTACAAGACAATCGCAATGACATCCCACTCTTCTCAAGACTTGGTATCCTGAAAGCATAGGATATGAAATTTAAGATCTCTGAAACACTGCCTTAGAATTCAATTAGTATATATATATATATATATATACACCACACTTTTCCACTTGAAATTGCAGTACATGCTGAATTTAAGTTCTACTCTAAACTAGACTGTGGTCTCTTAAATCAGCACATTAAATCATATGTTCAATTTTCCTCTATATCCACATAAGTGCTGCCACAATTTGATGACAAAGTTTGAGAAAACCATGGTGTAAAGCTGATAGAGTTTCTATTTTTAGTTTTTATTTTGAAAAGCAGGTATTGACAGGACTTCACGTTTTCTCATCACCATCTCTTAAGCAGTCATGTGCAGTATCCCAGCTGTAACCATCAAGATTTGTTGAAGCATTAAGTTGATAGAATGGGGTTTGGAACTCTCAGAAAGCAACTGAGGACAAGCATTACAGCTTGACAGAGCAGTATCCTGTGCTATCCAAAAAGCCAGTTTGATGGAGACAGTAACCAGATATCTTCATTTTGCAACTGGATTTTTTAATTGCTAGAAGAGATTAACCACCTTGAGCAGGATTTCTGATCTCTTTGCAGAAGAGGCTAAGTGGCTGAACCTCTTTAAGATTTTTACCAAGATGCTAAACCTGGCATTATAACACTCAAAAATTCCCCTCCTGACCCATCACTTGTGTGCCAGCCACAAAAGTAGAACCTGGGTGTGGCCCATGTTGCAATCTTAGAAAACCACATGAGAGAATAAACTACAATTAAAAAGAAAAGCATTAAATTTTTGGTGACTGAGCCATCAAAGTCCATATGCTCCCAAAGTCATACCTGGTCCCAGCGACCCAAATTTTAAGGCCAATAATGTCGGAATACCTTAAACCCTGTTAAAGACCTTGAACCAACTCGTAGACCTTGTTAGAAACCGCTCTTGCACAAACCCAAAACCGCATTGAAGAATGTTGAAATATTCCGAAAGGACTCCAAGTCCACCAATGATCGGCAAGCTTTACAACGATGAAGGCGGTGGTCGCATTGAAGAATGTAGAAATATTCCAAGAGAACTCCAAGTCCACCAATGATCGGCACGCTTCACAATGATGAAGGCGGTGGTTTTGTGTGACGGAGGTGGTGGTTTTAGCTGTTTTAGCGGACGGTTTTGCTCAAGTCTACAACTCGGTTCAGGGGTAAAATGTAAAAACTGCTTTGATAGTTTTTATCAATTCAACCACTGCGCCGATTCAATTTTTTTCTTCAGGAGCACATCAGAGCCTTATTTCTCCACCCAAAACAATTTTTTTTCCAAAAAAAACGCCCCCGAGATAGCTGAAAAAGCTTCAGTTGACGGTTTAAGGTATTCTGATGTTAGTCCCTCCACAGAAGAGGAAACTGACCCACTTCCATTCAAGGTTCCTGGGCACACCGCTCCAGGCGTTGTATTATGTCCAGCTCCCAGTTTAAGGGAGGGACAAATATGACAAGGAACCCATAAAATTCAGACACTGCTCTGTTAGGTGGACTGGAAACATGCAGGTTACGGTTTAAACCACGAATAACAACATTCGTTAACTTTTACGCACAAGACAAAAAAATACTTTCTTTTAAGAAAGAAAGACAAAGATACATCAAGTAGGACAATGAAGAAATAGCAGTTATCTGCTCAAAGAATGGTAGCGCAAAGTAGCTGGTCTGCATTCAGGTGGTAATAACACAAATCAAGCTTCCACTACACAAATGTTATTGCTACCCCGACCTCTGATGTTGTGCAAAATTTGGGTTGGGTCACCTCATTTTAGCAACAACCGGGTCATTTTTCAAGTTCTGAATTAGTCAAAATCTTGTCTGTGAAGGATAGACTGATCCGGCAGGATTCCAGCATATATATCTGCTGCGGAGCACTCAAGGGTGTAAGAATGGTCTGATTTTTGTTGAATCTTTTAGAAGGAATACGCATCATCCGCTCGGGTAACTTCGTCTGAACTGACACAGGCTCCTGAGTCGAGGTGCCTTAAGACGTACTGCAGGATCCGAATACGTGGTGGCTTTGAAACAAACAGTCAGGGCTTGCGTTTCTTCCTCCTTGAAATCGTCGCAACGAAGCATCAAACTTTTCGAGAACAAGAAGTTGTTGTTCATCGATAGAGGGTCTCATGTGTTCATGTTCAAGGAGTGATAATTTTGTACTCGTAGTGTGTGTGTGTGTGTGTAAGTTATTGATGTTCCTTCCATCCATCCATCCAGTCTAGACGGCATGGTCAGCCAAGACAGGCTGTCCTCCAAAGCACACAAAGAGATAGGGGGGGGCAAGGTCCATTGGCTATGGAGCTCGCTCTACATGATTCTTTCTACTCGAATTCGACATCACCAAGTCGCGTTAAGCTTTACTCCTGGCATTGTTGCAGTTCTAATAGCTCGCCTGCTTCTCTATGTCACTCACACATAGTAGGATATAGTTGAGTAGAAGACCCAGTTTCAGGCAGTGAGATTGTGGTCGCTCAGCAACAATGGCGCAAAATGGCTTGTGCTCGAATCTAGGGTTTGTGGCAAGTTTTTACGGGAAATTAAAGGAGCGTACATGAGAAGGTGGGAGATCGCGAGTTTATGCACGCATTGTGGTCGGGGTGAGGTGGTGAGGAGATGCTCCATTCCATTTCCGGGTGGGACTAGGCAAAATTTTAGCCAAGAGGGCTGCGTGTGACTACACAACGCGGTGATGTTTGTAGGTCCGAATGGCGATGGTGATTTCACTACGAATCAGGGAAGTGGCCTGACAATTTGAAGCGGAGGGAAGGTAGATGATGTGGAGATAAAAGCAATTTGTTAGAGATCGAGAATTTAAACAATAGAGTTGAATCATTCGACCAATGGAGTACGATGAGTATGCGGACGAGGAGGTTCATGGACTCATCGATTGTGCTCTGGAATCACGTTTTGAGAATTTATGTCTAATTGGAAAAGGCTCCTTTGGCGATGTGTACAGAGGGTAAGTTGTAGACATTTCGATCGATGCAAATGTGAGGTTCAAAATTCTAATGCTGCATTTCAAGTACTTTGACTCGGTATAGACTCACTGCAGGTAGATACTGAGTTGAGTTTAATTATCGTCGAGAACTGGCGCGGATATACTGACCTGGGATTTCTCTGTTGGTTTTGCTATTGATTTCAATTAGTGGATCTGATGTGTCATGTGTTTTCAGTCAGGGAGTGGGTCCAACATTTTGGTGCGTCTGTTTCTTTGAATTGAGTCCTTTCCAACCTCTGAGCTATGTTTAAGTGCTATGAAACCGATTAGTTGATCCAATACTTATTTGGGACTTTGCAGTTAAGGGAATTATTGTGAAAGTTCGGGAATGGTCAACGTGTACAGTCAAAATGGCTTGTAATTGCTGTCGGTCAGCCGCATCTGAGGATACGTAGATTTTATCGCCTACTCTAGCACTTGACTACCGCACGTCTTGCGTCCCTCCTGGAATTTTCATTGTTTGAGTGGGAGATAGTGAGGTTAGAGTTGTTTGCCAAGCCCTGTATTTCATTTACACTCATAACATTAGGTTTAGAGTTTACCAACATCGCATGCATCATGTTTCATCTTTTCGTGGTGAGTGTCTGATAGTCGTGGAGCACTTGTGGACGAAGGATTAGAAAGTTTTCATGAAGTAAATATCAAGTTAAGGTCTACTGGAATTCGTAGCATATATGTAATATGTGTTTCTCATGTGATGGGCCTACCTGGTAATATTTCGTTTTTCTGCTTGAATCGTGCTTGAGCAGGTTTGATAAGGAGTTGAATAAAGAGGTGGCAATCAAAATCATCGACTTGGAAGAAGCGTAAGTGACATCTTTCATTCAAACTTAACTTCTATGATATACTCTTCTTATAAACGCCTTCGGAGTCAGTTTGTACAATTATGAGGCACTTCTGTGAAATATATACGTGCTACTAGATGACAGTAAAACCCTGCAGGTGTTGCAAGGAAAATGTATGTATGATTAGTTCGGTCTGACTTTCTCGCTCTTTGGTGTAATTTTCTTTGTTATCAGAGAAGACGAAGTCGAGGATATTCAGAAGGTTGGTTTTGTTTTGTTATTCTTAATTTTATGTTTTTTAGCCCAGGTTTGGATTTGATTTTGCTTCGATGGATGGTGAAATATTGTCCTTAATGTGTTCGTTTCACTCTAGATCTGAGGTGCTCTTTGGTCATTAAGACTTCATGGAGGTGGCTAATAGGGCTTTGTTTCTCAGGAAATTTCTGTGCTATCTCAGTGCCGATCACCTCACATCAGAGTATTATGGGTCTTAATTGCACTCAACAAAATTATGGATTGTTATGAAGTACATGGCAGGTGGTTCTATATCAGACTTGGTGAGTCTCGCAGTCTACTTTGAGTTTCTTTTTGTTTGTTTTTGTTTTTCTTCTAATGATTCAGGCTTTGTGCTTTGGCGTACTTGAATCATTTAATAGCTGTACTGACAACTACGTGTTTAAACGGAAAATTGCTTGAGTCATGATACTTGAATCTCGCTTTACTAGCAATGAGAAGCAGCTGTGGTATAGCTTGCTTTCAACTGCAGTTCACAAGGGTTTGATTTTTGTGTTGATGTAGCTTGAAACTGGACCACCCTTAGATGAAGTTTCTATAGCGTCTATCTTAAGAGAGCTATTGCTGTCACTGGACTACCTACATTCAGAAGGAAAAATACATCGTGATATTAAAGGTACAGGAATATCTTATTTATCAAACTTACCTGCTTTCTTATTCATCTAGTGTATGGAGTTGGCATACAAGGATTGGAGAACTTTATGCTAGGCTGAATTCGTGTTGCTTTTGTTTATTATTTGGCTGTCGATGACAGCTTATCAACAACTTGGTGTTTTGGATCCGTCACACCTATACCTGCTGATAATTTTAAGGGTTACAAAATCTCATTTACTGTTACTGATGTATGCGTGGGATTGTTTGTAATAGCGGCTAATATACTGCTAACTGCAAATGGCGATGTTAAGGTCAGTAACTTCAGCAAGTCAGACTGTCACTGCCAGAACTTGTGAGAATGCAACTACAGAATAAGCTTAGAATGTTCAAGTATAGAATTAATCAAACATATAGTCTTTCATAACCTGTCTGTAACTAACCGTCAAGATTTGTAAAAGCGTTTTTTTTTTTTTTTTTTTTTTTTTTTTTTTTTTTCCCCTTTCCTGTTCATATTAGAATTCTGCAAAGTATAATATCCTATGGATCTTCTAATTCTCGTGTATGCATTATGTGATGAAACGGATTTCGATTCTAGTGGGAAGTAGTGCAGGTTGCAGATTTTGGAGTTTCTGCTCAACTGACTCGTACTATGTCCAAACGCAAGGCTAGTTGTCTTCAAAATCGCATGTGGCTGCTTTGAAATCTTAGTAAATAGCGTATTGAAATATAGTCTACACACGCATGACTTGTACCTGCAGTCTGTAATGCCGTGCTTCAGAGTTGGTGTATTTGTACTATAATAAGCTGGTCTGATTGGAATTCAACGTATTGGTGCAGACCTTCGCTGGAACTCCTTTCTGGATGGCGCCAGAGGTCATACAGAATTCTGGAGATGGCTACAATGAGAAGGTAATTGGTTGCTTCGAGGGAGTCGTAGCTAATTTACGTTTCTTGTTGAAGGTTATACACCTTTTCTTTTTGGCAAAGTGCTCAATGAAATGTCCCAGACACTTTCACTTCCCGTCGTTTGTGTTGAAGAGGATGATGGTAGTGATAAAAAGCTATTCATTTGTATTCCTTCAATATCTGAGAGCAAGTGGCTTGCATTGCAGGCAGATATATGTTCATTGGGAATCACTGCTATTGAGATGGCAAAAGGGGAACTGTATTCTCCAAGAGATTTTGTAAGTTTTGGTGGGGCAGTAGTTGAATACTAGTCGTTGAGACTTGTGACGAGTCGAGTACGCCAATTTGGTCATACGAAGATGTGCTGCTAATGTTTTTGGATGTAGAACGTAAGTAACTTGGTACATTGTATGGTCCATGGAAATTAAAGCATCTAATTTAATTGGTTCAAGGCGTAATTGACCACATGGCCTTGCATGCCCCGAATACAATCTAAATGGAGAACTGTCTTGGGAACCTCAAATGTAAGTGGTGGGGCTGTGCTGCTGCTTTGAATTTCTGTGAAAGCTGGAGCTGATTCACTAACCCTGGGGATCCTGTCATTTACTTGCAGGGGCCGTACGAAAGTGGCAATAACACTGTGAAAGCGAAATCTCCACAAAAATGGCCATCTCTTAGGTCTTTGTCAACTGCCATGGTGAATCCTTCTCTCTTCGTTACCTCTAGACGTAGTGCTTGACAAGACACTTGTATCTTAGTAGTTCTTCACATGACATGATAAGATACCCTTGTACCCATAGTGACGCCTGGTAATCTCGCATGTGTCATCCTTGTTAATCTGGAACCAGGAACTCATACTTTCATTCACAGACTAACAGTACTGGAGGTTCACGAAATGAAGAATATTCGGAAATTTCTATAAGTGGGACCGTAGTGCGGAGCAGCACATCGGACGAGGGAGGCTTAGTTCCAGGAACTCCAAAAGTCGAGCAAGAAGCTCGAGAAGATAGTGCCACTAATCTTGCCGAGGTTTGAATTCATTCCCTTCATTATAAATTCTTCGTTTTGGGCGATTTCCACATCCTTGACAAGATGATGGCTGGAAGTGTCTCCTTGATTGTTTTCATGTAAAGAGTGACCCTCGGCTTTGCTCTGGCACTTCACTTATTCTCTTTATGTTTATTAGTATCATGACCTTCATGATTTTATGTGGATAGAGGGGAAATTGAAGTTGCGTAGATTATCTTAACTGTCTTTGCTACAGGCCAAAGCTGCCCTTCAAGCTGGAATGAGGAAAGGAGGACCAAGAGGCCCTGCTCCAGTGAAGTTACGAAAAGAGGTTCAAGAGCATTTGGGTTGTTCATTTATTATCTTCATCTTCGCAAGTAGTACTACTTTTGACTTCATATGTTTGCTTCTGCTCCTTGTAGGCATTGTTGACAAACTAGGTGTATATTAGTTCCTGATATAAAATCATGCCACCAGGATTTATTTTATTTTATTTCTAATCTTTAACTTTTTCTTCATTAACACCCATGGATTTTTGTTCATAAGAGGTGGGCTATTCTTGTCTGACTCTTCTGGTTCTCTGGAATTAGGGGACCTCGAGAGACTCCTCGAGAGACTCCCAAGGCAACGCCTAGGGCAAATAGACGGATCAGTGAGGAGGACGTTGCCCGAGCAGCTGCAGCTGGCGCATCTTCTGCCTTGACTCTCCTTTTAATTCCTGCTCTCAAAGAGGTAAATCTTGTGTCCCATTCTTTCATATTGATAGTAGATGGTGGAGCTTAATAAAATGAGAAATACGTGCTGCTAAGTCTTACGTTGCATTGAGGTATTGTTATTTTCTCGTTGAATCTGTCAGTCGATTGAAATTTGTAATACTTTGAGTGAAAAATGCAAGAAGGTTTAATTTGTAGCTATAAATAAAGTTGTGCAAGATGGGATCGAGAAATCAGTTGGTGTCAAGCCCAACCAAATCAATTATCTTCTATCATTTCTAAATGTTGAAACTTGACTTTCAGCAATGATAGAGAACATTTAGTGACATATTTTCTGAAACGATTTTGAACATGTATCACATAACTAGTAAGAACGCAGTCTTGTTGAAAAAATCTCGACAATGGAAAAACAGCGAGTGATTTCGGACACCTAGAATTTAGATTAATCGTTTTTCGTACCCGACAACATGTTTATGTAGTGCAGTGCATCTATTTTATATGGTCTCTGCAAACCTACTGTTAAGTGATCGCAGCAATATATGCAGACTGCAGCAGAGCAGTCAGAAGGACCTTCTTTAAGAGCTGCAGCTGATGCAGCTGACGCTTTGATGGATTTGGAGCGGCTAGCGCCAGGTGCTTGTGAAGTTCTTGTTAGCAAACTTATACGACAATTAGCCAGGTACTCGATTAATGAGAATCTTTCATATGTATTTTTTGTTTTTTTGTTTTTTGCAGGCTAGAATACCAATTGAAGAATGTTGCTATCAGCTGTTTCGTTATGTCATGAAGCCCAGTTATTTACATGCATCCTTGTACACCACTGAATAATTGTTGTAATTACGTTATCATAAGTAATACTTCATCAACTATGTCACCAACATCAAGTTTAAATAATTGCTTACAATGTTCAGAAATTTTGTTTTAGTTGTGCTGCTGGACTTTATGGTCTAGGATACATTTTAAATATGCATTTTGCAAGTGTTATATGTACTTCATTCCTCGGCAGTGTAGAAGTTATTGACACCCAGGTTGATGTTCCGGTTCTGCAGAAAAGATGAAGCTCCTGCGAAAGGTCTGCAAAGCCTGGCACGCCGTTTGCTTTCTGATAATGGTAGTGAAGAAGACGGACACGTTCCATCTTCACGTGATCATCCCAGGGATGCGAGGCATAGATTTCAGAGGGACAAGAGTGATAATTCGGGTTTGAGTCCAGTGGCCGCCTTCTTACTTCACAGGTCTGCTTCATCTCCCTGGCTCTAATAGTTTTTCACCTTCTTTTCTATATGATAACATAGTGGGGTTTCTCTTTCCAATATTTTTGTCATGATCTCATAATCTTTCACGTTTGCCAGTCTAGTGTATTCCCTTCTATGTATTAGCAGGGTTTCCACTCCTCTATATGGTTGTTTGCGCTTTAGTTTTCATTGAATCGACAATGTAGAGGAAATGCAATCATAGTGTGCTCTTGCATTGACTTGGGTGGGCGTAATTTCTTCAAAGCAAGAACATAATCTCCAAAAAACATAGCTGTGGTATCCGAACTTGGTGTTATCTCTTTTCTCTCACAGTTCCGTGTGTTTGTTCAGGTGGCTAGGTCAAGCCTCGAAAGACCTCAATCACCGTCGCTAAACTTCCATTTGTGTGGAATGGATGAGATCCCATCGACATCATACCGGTAGTGGAGGCATATTTTCCTCGAGATCCATTTGATATCACCTCAGGGCATCTCACTGTTATCTCTACCTTTTATTGCCGCAGGTTTTTTCGGTCTTATGTAAAAAATGTAAGTCTAAACTATTAACAAAAAATTTGGGTTACTTTTCAGTTTTCTAGTGGTTTGAGCAACTAACATACCTAGTTCACTCAAGGGACTTGTTACGTTCGACTTGGTCAATTTTGAGATTTCTACGAGGGTTGAAAAGGCTCAGTGATGTGCCAATGTTGATAACCATGGCATTATTCAAAGTAGGTAAAGAGATGTCTACGATAACACTCTAATGTTTGTTGATTGGATGTGCTAATTTATTTCTTATGTACCAAAATATTGGATTTTAATTCATAGATATGATATGAGATTAAACATTTATAATTCTCGCACACCAGTATTTATCGTTTAGACCACCATATTTTTTCAACATTTTCAAAATTCATGACTAGACAAATCAACTGACTTCATTTTTCATTTTTCATATTTATACAACACATGGACATGTGCCCGAGTAACATTCTGCAAGATTTAGTCCATGACACTAACACCATTGTATATATACATAGTAGACAAGAATGGTTTAGGGAGAGGGATCAAAATTTTCGCCGCATTTCAGAAATTCTTACAGACATGGTGTTTACAGACATTTTGTTAGCACAATGTTGTTAGAGAATTGACATTGCAGAAGATCCAACACTCACAGAAACATCAATTAACGAAGATTAATTGCTATTTGTGAAATAAGTGTTGCACATAGATCCCACTTTCTTCTTCTGTTTCTTTCTTCATTTTTATATTTTATCCCCCGTATCCATAAACTGGAACAACCAGGATTTTGGATGTGATTGTTGACTTTGGATATTGCACCACAGCCTCTCCTAAATTCAAGTTGGAGAAAATCCAGCGTAAGTTGAAAAGCTATCCTGATTTGACCGTGGAAGCGTTTTCTCACACTGACCACTGAGAAGCTAGTCTTTTATATTGGGCACATGGGCTCAGACCTACCAGCGAGCATGCAGCGTCTGACATTATCTTGTCCTAGGGTTAGATTTAATACTGCTACTTTTTTTAATGGGTGGAGCCATTCAGAAGCCGAAGTCAAGAGCCACCATACCGCCCATCATTCAGGTTCAACCCTGCCAAATATCAACGGGAGCTTTCTAACTTATGTGTGTGTGGATGGAAATGCTTGGGCTTCTGTGCGTGGATCGTTCCTTGTGTTCCACCATGAATCTTCCAAGGCTTCAATCCTAAACTTTCCATGTTTCTCCTGGTGTCCTAAGTTACCAGCATGGTAATTATAGTGACCCTGTGAGTTACAAGTATCTGATGAGACTTTTGAAATTGTGTGGGACCTCGAGTAACAAGAAGGTTATCGGCTCAGAAGGCTTGTCCTGAAAGCCGTGTCGCTATCAGCAATGAGGGCGTTAGAAAGAGGCTGTTTGTGTATTTGCTACTTCAGTGTGGGAGACTGGCGAAGATTGTCGAGTTCAGCGATGGCATCGTTGCTTGTTTTGTTGTCATCGCGCTCGAGCTATGTGAAGCATGAACGAATGAACGGACAATGGAAGTGATCTTCCACAACATGTGTGACACGCATTCTCTGTTTCCCCAAATGACATGAACCTGTCGTCTCTTGCTTTTTAGGCTTAAGGCGTGATGTCATTTGAAGATGGGAAGCACTTGGAAAGAGCACTGGAATAAACACATGGCACTTGGCAACGCAATAGTTTGAGGCGATCGGAGTTGGAAAATGACAATACCATGAACAGCGTCAGTTTCTTCCAATGGTGGCATTACTTCTAGTGGCTGAAGCATGTGCACTTTGCACTTTGCCACAAGTTTGACGAAACCTGTATTCCCAAAAAGAATGAAGTAGGAATGGAAACTGCTGACTCGTATTCGAAGAAGCGACAAAAAGGATCTATTCGGAGTATCAAAGAATAAAAGATAAATCGCTCCCCGCTACCAGTCAGGATCTTGAGTTTCCAACTGCCAAGGAATGAAGGGCCGTCGATTGGCGATGGATCAGTTCTGTGTCGCCCAATTCTGTCAGAAGAAAAGTACACACACACTTTTACACCGTCGGAGCTCATCCGGCTGAAGCGATCGCGGTCGATCCCTCTAAAACCTCATCTCCAAGCCTGCACTTCATTGGACCCCTCTGAGGGCACCCGCATGGGCCTTCCATTCTGCAATCCAGTTCCAGGTCCTACCATCATTCACTGGAAGCAAAAACAAATACACAAATACACCGCAACGCGCTTGCTTCGAGAATCCACGACAGGATTGACAAGTTGTGCGGAATTTGCACAGGGAATCACGGAAGCCCGAAGCCGAGTGTCAGCCCTTGTCTGCTGCTCAGGCATCGCCCAACTGCGTCGATCCTTTCTGCCACAGCCCTGTGGTAACAAGCACGAGAACGTAAACGCGCACATATTTACTTATACAGAATTAATTGATTAAACATCTTTAATTATATATATATAGTTATAGTAATAGTTGTGTGTAAAAGTGCGTATAAATAATTTGGGTCGAGCGTGTGAAGAGCCGAAATGCAATGGGGTGCATTGTCACTGCTTGGTGATTCCATCACACGAGGTTGTCTCGCATCACTTACCACCATCGCTGCTCCGATTTCTAGATTTTGATTTTTTTTTTTTTTTTTTTTTTTTTTTTTTTTGACACAAATGGGGATTATCCACTTCACTGAGTGAAAGAAGGTGGTGTAACAAAGCATATCCTGCGCCTTGACATTCAGAAGGGCTCACCAGGAGCTAAGAGACTCATATTATGCAGGATTTAGTGGCTAATACATCACTCTTCTGGTGTGTTGTTTATGACTAGCTTGCTATTAGGAATTCTGAACTTCAATATGACACAAAATTTTGCTTCTGGAAAATGTTTGGCTACAGGCTTTCAACGACTTATCTCATTGTCTAAGGATGTTCATACTAAAATCTAGTTTCTTTTTTTAGAAAAAAATTAGATAAAATGAATTTTCATTTTATTGAAAATATTCCATGATTTTAATACAACATATTTTTGAAGTGAGATGAATTTTAAGAATAAAAATGAAAAAATTACAAAATTGTAAAATTGTCTGACAAATAGTTTAAAATGTATATAAGAAATCAAAACCTAAACTAGGAATTTATTACTAAGATAAGAATTATTTTAAAATAAAATAACATAGTATTAGCACCATGGATGATGTTAGCAATCTTCAATAAAGCCATAACACAAAAGGATGATAGTATAGTACAAAGATAGGATAAAAATGCAACTAGTTGTAGCACCATCATGAATTTAGGATAGAAGTGGTGATTAAGAAATTTTTTAGGCATTATAAAAACTAGTAAAGGGACACATGTTCTCTCTTTCTTTGGAATTTGGATATTTAGAAGTTAGTATTATAAACACAACAAGCTTCTTTGTCACATTTTTGGAAGCATTCTAGCTTGGCAAAATGGTGGAATATTTTGTACTCAAATGAATAAAAGAGAAAACATTACTTTATTGAGTTAGAAGTATTGTCATGGAAATATATAGGTACTCTAGTAAATACCTATATAATTACGTAGGAGTAGATAAAAGTAAATAAAAGTAAATTAATTTCATAAGACCTTCTAGAAAAGCCTCTTAAAAACTTCATAGATGTTGCTTTGACTTTACATATGTTTGTAATTGATTGATAGGTTAGAAACTTAGTCAATAAGTTAATTACGTGTTGGTAGCTTGCGGAACAAGCTAACTATATGGTATACATATAGAAAACTTGTCTTACAAGTTAAGATATGTATCTTGCAAAGTCAACACATTTTAGAGGTCCCATAGGACATTGCCACATAGCTCCTATTTAAGAGTATATATGGAGGCAAGAGTGAAGCCTTCTTTACTCTTGTCAATTCCTTTCTAATCCTTAGTCTTCTTTCAAGACTTTCTAGTCTTCTTATTTTTGGCAATAGCCATTCTAGTTCAATATTATATCATCTTTGAGTGACTTCTAGTTCCTTTTAGTGATACATGAGTGTATTAAAGATTTTCTTTCCTTGAGATTAATGTCCTTTACAATTTGACAAGAATACTAACATATTGTTTTTGTCTTATTTTAAAAGTGAGTGGATTATCACACTTCTATTGTTGTGTTTTGGAGGTACCTATCTTTAAACAAAAAAAATTATTTTCTAACATTAATCTTTTCTTTAAAGAAAGTGGATTACTCCTTTGTAGAATTTTTTTATTAGGGGTTGCAGATTACCCTCCTTTGATTTAACTTTTTAAATTTGTTTGAGTTGTCTATAAAAGGAAAAATTATGGATGCTACTCTTAGTGGAAGTGAAAATAGATTTGCAACTATTGCAGATCTTCATGAACTTAACAATACTCTAAAAATAAAAATTTCACGTATTTCCAAAGTGAATCATGGAGGTACTATGCCTATGCCTACGGAAGAAGTTCAAAGTCTACGACAAGAAGTTGTGCAATTGAAAGAAGCAAGTAGAGTGACCTTACAACCAAATCTAGAGAGTTTTGCTTCTACAAGTATGAGGGGGACAAAAATTAGTATGCCTATGAAGTTTGATGGAACAAGATCAAAATATGGAAGATTTTGCAATAAGTTAAACTCTATTTAAGGTTGCATTTTTTCTAATACCCTAATAGATTTACTAATGTTGGATTTATATGTGCATTTCTATCAAGAAGTGCTCTCTTTTGGTTTTCACCTTTAATAGAAAAAGATTCATAATTTCTTTATGATTTGAATTTATTCTTATAAGTGTTTACGAAAGAGATCAAGAAAAAGTAGCAAAGACCAAGATCTTATCTTTATGGCAAGGATCACAATCAGCCACCATATATGCTATTGAATTTCAAAACCTTGCTCGCGATGTGGACTAGAATGACAAAGTTTTTATCAATCAATTTTGATATGGATTGAAGGATAATGTAAAAGACTTATTACTGACAATACCAAAGACAAAATCTTTGAAATAATTTATTACTAAAGCCATTATATGTGACAATCAAATATTTGAAAGATGTCAAGAACAAAGATATGATTAGAGAGGAATAAATAAAATAATGACGGTAGCTCCTAAGTTTTCAGAAATTTATTTATCAAGGCCAAATCCAATGCAAATTGATATGATATGTTTTAAATCCCTCATAAAGAAGGAAAATTATCATCAATGTCAAGAAGGTTTTTGCTTATATTATGGAGAAGCTAAACATATAACTCAACATTGTCCAAACAAACAATATAATTACAAAATGAGAAGCACGATTGCCAAAGAAGACAATATGTCAAAAAACAAGTTGCTCCAACTACAA